CTCTCTCTCTCTCTCTCTCTCTCTCTCTCTCTCTCTCTCTCTCTCTCTCTCTCTCTCTCTCTCTCTCTCTCTCTGTGAAACAAACCAGTACATAGAGGACAAGGGAACACACACATTGTACAAGTGCATCGTTAATGACAGAACATGGAATCCAAATTCAAAGCAGGACCTGTCAATAACAAGTTTCCAACTCTCTCTCTCTCGCCGTCTCTCAGTCACGATGGAACTGCAATTCCCAAAGCAAGGAAGTTCAAATTGTCCATGTATTTACTTTGCAAGATAAAGAATTGAATCAAACGGTCCTCCATGAACCTCTACCGGCCACGTTCATCATCACAGTGTGGTCGGTTCATTCGACCACCTCCCGATTACGAGCACACTACAAGGACGGCCGGAGCTTAAAAATTACAAATAAAACAATACGGGCACTCGGTCGTTCACAATGTACAAAGGAAGAGCTCCAGGGATAAGACGGACAGACCGACAGAAGCACGCGCACGACAGGCATTCTGCTAGTCATCTACGAACACTACCCGAAAACAAGGCGACGACACTACATGAACTACGAGTGCGAACGAACACCATCCGACTAAAAAAGACGACATGTGCGTGAGAAGAAATTGACGTCCATAGCCGAGCAATGCCCTGTGCCAGACGTTCCCGTCTACCGCTCTCGTATAGCCTTCGCTAATTCCATCAGCGCATGAGACATCAGCTTGCTAACTTCATTAGACGCAGCGCAGTGTTGCTTTTGGACCTCCACCTCCGCTTCCAGAGCTTCACACTGCCGAAGTTGAATGGAGCATTGCCGCTTGCTCGCGCTCTCCATCGTCTCGCATTGCCTCTTGCTCGCGCTCTCCATCGTTAACGCCATCAACGCCCCATGCTTCTCCATGCACTCAGTCAAGGCCTCCAATGTCTGCTGCCGCACATTTTTTCTCTTCCCGAACCCCGCGGGACTGCCAGTCGTCTGTGAGGCCCCCCGCGTTGAGCTGTCGTCTTCGTCGTTGCCATCTCCACCGGCATCCCCGTCCCCCACAGATTCCGGAGTCGCCGACTGTGCAGATGGGAGTTGCACACCTCCGGCGCCGCCGGTGTCTGCAACATTAGTCGGGCTGATAGTGTGGCTCCTCTCCCTCGCCCCTTTGATCTCGTCATACACGGCCCGATCCATGTTGAAGTTGAATCCTTTTTCTCCCCTCGTTGACTCGTCACCTGGAAGAAGTCCTCCCTCCCCGACATGCCCATGAAAGTGTGGATCTTTTTGAACTGTTGCATGAGGTTATCCCATTTTTTCCCGCATTTGTCTGGCGGCCTGTCAACTCCGACCTTCAGCAACCTCTCCCTGACGTCCGCCCATTTCCACTCCGTCGACCGCATCCGTGCGAATGCGTGCCCCGACGCTTGCAACTGGGCGTCCTGATCCCGCTTCGCCCTTATCAGGGCCACCATGTGTTCCACATACCAAAAATTCCTGCCACCCTCCCCCTCCCCCTCAGCTTCCACATCAGCAGAAGTTGCCGACGACTTCTTTGGCCTCCGCGTTGTGCTCGTCGGACCCCTGCCTCTGCCGCCCCTGCCACCCATGTTCGGTGCACGCAACGGGAACACGTCACCGCTGTCGTTGTCCTCAACGTCACACTCAACTCCGTCAACGTCTGCCCAAGCGTCACCCCCCCCGCCAGCCCAGTCCACTTGCCCGGCCCGCTCGCCCACACGTAATCGCTGCACACCTTCCGTTATGGACTCTTCTTGCTGTCGCCGTAACTCCTGCCTCGACTCCTTCCATAGATGCCTGCCATCTCCATGCGCGCCCTCGAAAGGGAAGTCTTCGTGAGTGACACCCCGTTGAACGGGACGACGAACGTCGTCGCGGCCCCCGGGCGACGCAGAGGGGAGGTGCATCCACTGCGGACGACCGCCGGTGCTGCGTGGAAGTGACGGGCCACAAGTCGCCTGCGCTGTACGACACTCCCTCGTCTTCTCCGAGGGCTTTTGAGGCGCAGTACCACCCCTCGTGCCCCTGCCGACCAATGTCACCTGCCACGCGTCGTCATTGGGATGAGGGTTGACGATCACAGTGCGCGTGGCGGACGATGGGCTCCTGCCCCGCAAGCCAAATGTTAGATCCACAGGGGGGAGGCATTCGTCCTCCGCGGCACCTTCATGGAGGAGGGAAGTGAACGATTGCTTGTACTTCGTTCCCCGCCGATCATACAACTGGCTACCCGTCCATTCCTGGGTCGACCCGCTACCCAGCAGAACTGTCCTCGACACGTCTACGTCCGGCTCCCCCTCGTCCGAATCGGCCAGAGGCTGCAAGTGAGGCAGGAGTCCTTCGTGCAGTGACGGACCTGCCGCCCTTCTGTCTACACCGGTAGAGATCGCAGGCCGATGACTGGGATAAGTGTCCGACAACGTGGTAAGATTCGGCCGCCGCCCGTCCATGACCACGCTCTTCCTCGCCCCTCGTTTCCTGCGACTACGTGAAGGCAACCTCCCCAATATGCACACCTGAACAAAGACGACAACGACAAGCAGAATCACTACGAGGAGGAGCAGCGGCAGCTTGCGGAACACGTCGGCCATGTACGACAACCGTTCTCGCAAGGGCAACTAACGACGACAACGCAGCAAAACGTAACGGCTACCCAGACAGCGGCAAACAGCAGACGGCAAGTGACGACTGATGACGCCCTCAGCCGCTTTACATTGCGGAGCACTGCGCGGGGTGACGGACCTTCGCCAATGTGATTTTCGAAACGGCTGCCAGTTGGAGGCCTTTCCGTTTCCCGCCGGCGCGGGTGAGGGGCTGGTTTCAACTGGAAACGTCCACGGACCCTGTCCGCCACCCAACCTTACCGTTGCCGTCGTATCCACCGTAGTCGAACGTTGCCGGCCGCAAATGTCCGCCCACGCCTCGGCTGGACCATCATTGTACCAGACTTCAAAATTCTCACGTCGTCGAAGGATGCCGCCGCCGTCCCGATTTTCGCGGAAACTCCCACTCCGAGGGACCTCGCGACGTACCTTTGGGGGAACGCAGCCAAATGCCTGTAGCCCGAGGACGCCCCGAGGACGCCCCAAGGAAATGTTTTCACATCGTTTTCGAGGGAACGGTCTCCGAGGACAGGTGGAACGATCATTTCCTTGGGATTTTTGAGCGCCCGAGGAGTGTCTAACGAGCCCCTAATTGTTCGAGTGGTTTTCCTTTCCCGCAACTGATTTTTCATACAGCTTCCCTCCCCAATCATTTTTGAGTTTTTTTCGCTTTGCTTTCTCTGGAAACCTAACAAAGTTATCAACACTGTGACTACGCGTCAAATCACTTTCAGTGATTTGCAGGCGCTTGCAAGAGATTCACTTTTTCAAAGTAATGATGCGCCCCAGCCTTGGTGTCATGAGTAGAAACACATGCTATGTTTCCACAAATGGATTGAAAAGTAGGTGACTGTAGGTCCATGGAATTGATCAATACTTCGTAGACAACACAACCTCCCGTCTCCTATATTTTGTTCAAAACCAAATTGCATGATTTGAGTCACGGTTCGGAGGGAAGCTTAGTGACCTTAGTCATATTACACACACTGCTTACGCATTCTATTGGGTCGTTGGTTCGAATCCAACCTAGTAGGGAGCTGTTCTGTGTTCAAATATACGGTCGACCGACATTCATACTACTCACTCCTTGGCGGCGGCCCACTGAAGGCTCTGCACTGCAGATCTTGTCCACCTGCGTCTGTTGTCCGACGGGCTTTCCTCGCACAGGTTTGAAAGATAGTACTGTAGTCATCCCTTGTCCTCTGCCTTGACGATCCTGCCGGCATCACCCGAAGAAAATGCCTGCAGTGGTCATTAATTATTCCTGTATCTAGACTGAAAGTTTCCCCAGGTGCAGCTATAATTACGGGGTTGTTCTATTCGGGAGAAGATGTTAGCATTGAGATATTTTTGCTCTCTTGGATGTCCTGCTTTTGTTGAAAAAATCTTCGGAGTACTTTGCTTGGATTCACAAATTTCCTTATACGCAAAATATCATGTACTCGCTCTGGCAGGAAAGTGTTTCCGTCCGTGGTCTCACTCATGCACTGCCGCCTCTGATCTAAGGGTAAAGCTATGTTTCTTTTTTTTTGTGCAGAAAGCTAAGCATTTAGACTTGCCTTTTCTTTTTCTTTTCGTTTCTCTTTTTTTTTTTTTTTTAAAGGGTGACTCTTGAGATATTATCATGGCTACGCCGGACCCGGACCCGGACAGCTCATGTCCGTGGAGATGTCCGGGGACGGGTCCGGACTTGTGGACACCCGGATTTTCGGACATATACGGTTCCGGATGGTCCGGACCGGTAAGCAGGTCCGGAAATGTCCGGAGAATTAAAAAAATAACAATAAAAGAATATGAAAAAGAAGTATGTTATGCAGAATAACAATGCAAAGTTTAACCACTTTGCTTTCTAGTCAAAAGATTCTTAGCCAAAGCCGGATAATGGCCCCGGCACCTCATATGTTGTGTAATAATTCATGTGGGACGCTGGACCCGGTTTCCAGCACGTGCTGCTCCCCACGAATAGATTGGAGCAAATTGTCCCAAAAAAAACAAAAAAAAAGAATTCCTAACCAAACAGGCCCGTTTACCGGCTTTTACTATAAAAAACAGTAAAAATCTTCTGCAAAAAAAAGAAAAAAAGAAAAAAATTCAAAAAAAAGAACTCCTAACCAAAAACTTGAGTTAAAAGTCTTGTGAGGCTGTGGTGGGGATAGCTTTGGCCGGGAGTGGGTTACTTAGTCCATTTGACTGCAGCAAATGATGTAAGGGGCACCGGGCCCGTTTCCCGGCTATATGAGGGAAGGTCCCAGCAAAAAAAAAAAAAAAAAAAAATCCAAAAAATCCAAAAAAAAACAAAACTTTGTTATGCAGAAAAAAACACTGAACAACTTTTGCCTCAGGGTCACATCAAAATTCTTCACCAAATTTAAAATAAAAATTAAAATATAAAAATATTGTTTTTATTTTTAATATTTTTAATTTTTAATTTTTTTTTTTGGCCGGCCGGGCAAGTGACCCCGGGCCACTCTGGTAGCAGCTGTTTTTTTTGCGGCTGTTTATCGAAAGTTATTGCGGCACGGCAGCCCCACGTTAGCCTGGTTTCATGCACGCTGACTTGGTCTCCCCCACACCCCCTTCTCCCCATGTATACATTGGTTTGTGTAGTATGCGAGGAGGTGGGGGCGCGGCTCTTAGAGTCAGGGGTGCAGTTTTGGGTTCGGGTATAAAACTTGTTTGTCTGATGTCATGTCTTTTTTTTCTTCCGGTATGGATCTGATTATGTTCAAGTGTGGGGGAGGGGGGGCGGAGCCCCCCCTCCCCCACATCCCCTCCGCCCCCATGTCAAAGTTATGCTTCTCATTATGTTAAAGTGTCTGACTGCAATTGCAGCCTGACCTAAATGAATCTGACTCCAATCAAGTCCAGAGCTGAGTCCTTATTCGGGTGTAGAGGGTAGTTGGACGAGGACTAAGCTCCGGTTGTCCATCTCTCCATCCAATCCCAGTGTCTGATTTCTGCACGGTATGTCTGAAACCTTCCTAGCTGCAGATTGCCCAATCAGGAAGCGTTGCTGGAAAACGGTCTGTTTTGTTCACAGGATGGCTGAGACCTTCCGAGCTGTATGTTACCCGATCAGGAAGCCTTGCCCGGATGGCCGAGACCTTCCTAGCTGTACTGGTCCTATGTTTGAGCCTTGTTTGTGCTATGTCTTGTGCTATCTTATCATGCTCTATGTCGTGTGCTATGTCTTGTGCTGTGTGTGTGCTATGTACATGCTATGTTTGTGCTCTCTGCAGCCCAGGGCAGAATGAGGCACTTCCTCAGTGAGTGGACGGGTGGGCGGCCCGGTGGGCGGGTGGGTGGG